ACTTCATTTGAAGTACACACTTCTGGCATAATTTAGTTTGTAAAAGTTCTGAGTAAATCCGGCCCGGAGGACCAAATTATAGTGTACAGCAAATAGAACAGCTCTACCCTGTTTTTTCTTTCTTAAAAAGGAGAAGTGATCTCTCTATTTATCTTTCTCTATCGCTCAGATTCTTGAGCACAAATACACTTTTGGTTTCTTTCTTTATTCAGGTACTGTGTTTTTTCTTGTATTTCTTACTGGGCACTTCACTTTCATCACATTTGCTCCCTTTTAAGTTCGCTCTTCGTTACGTTCTCTCTTCCTCTATCTCTTTCTCATTTTATATCTCCCTCACTCACTCGCGTTTTCGCTCTCTTTCATACTCTTTTTATTTAGTCTCACTCTCCTCTTTCTCTGTTAATTTTTTCCGCAAAAAATTGTTGGGGCTTTCCATAATGGACAGAGGACAAATTAAACAGCATCTCTCTTTATCGTTCCCTCTTCTACCCCCTTCGATCTATCTCTTACCTCACTCACTGACTAAATTGAATGGGAAATTTAATCTATCAACATTTAAAAAGAAAGGAAGTTTTTCACAGTATCATCGTGGTCCGCTAATGTTAATTCTCGCTCCGACAGTGCGTTTCGGCATTTCCTCTCATTCTGAAAGAATATGCTACACAAAAACACACACACAAAAACAACAAAAACAGCAATAATAGCTCATGAACCGTGGAGAAATTTCTCAAACATGACTATGATTTGTTGTGGTCATGCTGATTGTTGATGATCCCGGTTTTCACTTTTGCTAGTTTTCTTCATCTTTGTCAGTGTGAGTCATTAGTATTGCCCACGTGTAAATGGAAATTGCAGAGATTATTGCAACCTGGGATTTGTCGCATATTTGGAGTAAGGCTTAAACAATATCGCTAGAAATATAAGTTGAAATTATTTTATTTTGACTGCCATGAGTAAAATTTTCTGACGTTTGTGGGTGTATTGCGGAGTGACAGATTAACCTAAACGGGTGGAAACATGTTCAAGGATAGCAGTTTTTTGATAAAGGACGTTTTGGGTGTGTCCGGTCTTGCTCGATATCGCACGCTTTTCTCTGGAACGTCGCCTTGGAGATAAACCGGTCTAAACGGGAAATTTCCTATTTCTCGCGTCAGGCAGACACAACTCTTACGAACTGTTGTCCGTCCGAGTCTGGCAGCGCTGATATTCAGATCCTTGAAGTTGGAGGGCATGAATATGAGCAATTTTGTGACGGAAAAAACCATCACTGGTACCGGCATGATACGTGTAGGAGGGTTTTGAGGACCACCTTGACCCAGTGACTCTGACCCAGACAAGGACGGCCCTCTTGACTGGGTATGCTCCCCGGAAAACGGTCCGTCCGGCCGTACTATTCAATTGAAACAACGGACAACACCGCCGGGGGGAGATAACCCAAATAAATCTGGGACGGATTTTATATCGTTATTGTATCTCGGCCACTGATAAAAATTCCGACCGCCCAGAAATTTATTCCGTTTTTCTCCAGACGACCATAACTTAATTCACTTTATTACGGAACAGTGGGCTCTGTTCAACAATTAGCCATATACCTATAACATTGACAACCTTGGAATACTTAAAAATTAATCCTTATTCAATTCACAACTCAATAATCCAAAAGATCATTAGTATCATTCTATTTTAGTATTTGCATACTTAATCAAAAACAATTAAACATTATATAAAAGTAATGAATAATTGCCTCCCTCCAGTCTCTATACTCTTCTTACTTCTTTTCTAGCATAGTTGGCAATTTCTTACTATATTTTTTTAGGCCTATCCTTTCTTCCATTTTCCACATCAGTGACTTTCAGTTTGTCGCCTTTTTACCCATTCGCTATGCGAGCCGTCCTTAATTAACTGTACTTTCCATTTCGAATCTGTTCATTTAACATTCTCCTATATCCATCTGCAACTTTTTGTTATTTTGTTAGCATTTTACGCGAGATCGAACAAATTTTCCCTCATAATAATTATAATTTTCTTTTCTAGATGATGTTTTTTGTTCCATAGGTATTCATTTCTATTGCTATAACTGTGCTGATAATTTCTAGTTGGCCATCAGTAGAAAAATTGAATATTCATACAAATTGAATCCGTAGAGACCGAGTAGACATTAGAAAATCAGGGCAAAAATGTGGCCTTGCCAAACACCTTTTTTAAAATTTTATTTAACAGTTCCCTCCCAATACACAAAAACCCACTCACATTTATTTTTAAACAAGTCAAGTAAGCAATACCCAAATGCAAATGGGCCCCTTAAAGTACATAAATATCTTTAGATACCTTCAAGTTTCTCCTGTATTTCCGCAAATTGACTGGTTAGCAGAAAATTATTATTACTCTCATTATCATCAGTAGACGACGTAACGTTACGAAACAAGACCTAATTATAAAAATTGGATTATTTAATTTGTTATTCACAACAATAAATGTTAGTAAATAATGATCATTAAAAAAGGAAATGTGTAAACAAGATTTTAGACTTTCCTAATCAGAAAAGCAAAAAAGTTTTATTATTCCAGCTCTATATATCAAATTTTAGCACTAAGAATTAACCATTAGTTTCTCTTTATTAAAATAATCCCTCATTAAGACGGATAATCTACCTGTAAAAATGGAGAAAAAGCGAGTATATACGGACAAATAAGAATAACTAAGAACACACGTTCTAGATTATTTTTACCTTGTGAAACAAAACCAGAATTATGATGATTTCGCCTTTTTTGGCATAAAATCGTATATTTAAAATAATTGGGCACCTTCGATCCTCTACTAATCGGATAATGTAAATTGTTTATTTTTGGCTATTGTTTTCTTTTTCACGAACTTTGATAAAAAATAGACGAGACCAAACGGACCCAGAGTTACCAGTTAGTTATTGGAAATGATAACAATTTGAGGCAAACAATTTTCGCTGACAAAATGTATTTGTAAACTGTATTTTCTCGGTTTTTGACAATTATTTTCTGGCCACAACGATCACGCATGAGACGTTTTTATTAAGTCGAATTAGCTCCCGACAAATTGGGCCAATGTTGTGAAAGATGAAAAACAAATTCGTATACCAGGCTGTGAAAGTTTTCCGATTTATAAAAAAAAGTAAAACAAATTGCATTACAGATGCCATTGTTACTACGATAATTTTTGGCAAGGACAATAAAAACCAAGGACATGTAAGGTCGGAGAAAGGCGCGACTAGACGGACGCGATGTGATGATTAAGCGAAAACCTTCCAAAGATAACAAGTTCTAGTGGGCTGGATTTGGATTGGGTTTAAGACTAATAAAAGTAAAATAAATGAGCGACAATGCAAATATAATTCTCAATGAATTCGAATGTTTGTTTCAAAAGTAATAGAATTCAGCATACATATAGCGATTTATTATGCACATAAAGTGGGTTGGTTATATTATTGAGGGGAAATCCAGCCCGGAGGACCCAAACAATACACTGACCCTTTTCTACTGTTCCGTACATACTGAATTGTCTGTCAACCCTATTCTGTCTGTCTGTCTCTCTCCCTCTCTCTCTCTCTCTCTCTCTCTCTCTCTCTCTCTCTCTCTCTCTCTCTCTCTCTCTCTTTCTCTCTCTATCTACCTAACTACCTATGCATCTATCTATCCATCTATCCATTTCTTTCTCTATCTCTTTTTACCCCTTACTTACTCACACTCTCTCTATCTCCACATCTATCTACCCATCGCTATCTCTCTCTCTTCTCTCCTCTCTCTCTCTCTCTCTCTCTCTCTCTCTCTCTCTCTCTCTCTCTACCTAACTACTTATGCATCTATCTATCCATTTCTTTCTCTATCTCTTTTTATCCCTTACTTACTCACACACTCTCTCTCTCTCTGTCTGTCTCTGTCTGTCTGTCTGTCTGTCTGTCTGTCTGTCTGTCTGCCTCTCTCTCTCTCTCTCTATCTATCTATCTATCTATCTCTATCTATTTATCTATGTATCCATCTCTATTCTCTATCTCTCTTTACTCTCTACCTATTTCCACATCCATCCATCTATCTATAGCTCTCTCTCTCTCTCTTTCTCTCTCTCTCTCTCTCCCTCTCGCAATCTATCTATCCATCTGTATCTCGCTTTTTCTCCCTTACTCATCCCCTCTCACTCTCTCTCTCTCTCTCTCTCTCACTGTTTTCTATTCTTTTTCCTAGGGTGCAATAACGTGATGTCTCACTTCTTATGGAAGGCAATGAAAAATTAGAATCTCAATAAAAATAACCAATTCTAAAACCAGAATGATTAATGAACTTTTATCCAGGTTCATACTTTGTATTAAATCAGGATTCGTATGTAAAAAATTGGAATTCTAAATTTCTATTGTAAAACATATTAAATCGCCTGATTCTTCTAACTTATCCTTCCCTATAGACTTATTATCTGGAAAAAAGAAAAGCCGATTTGTTCAAATATCAACCATTTCTAGGAAAGAAGCTGTGAAAATTCAGGAGACTAATTTCAAGATGAGCAATACAAAAATCGGGTTAATTGCAGTTCTTAGTAAATAATCGAGTATTTCAAAGATTAGCGTCACAATTAAAGCTACAATCTTCTGTCAGCCGTGATATGCTTGCAACTGTTTTTTAAGAATATTTCAAACACCGATTATACAATCCGTGATACAAAAGTAGTTCCGTGCTTCCTCATAATAAAATCTATTCTTTGCCGCCGGTCGAAATGTCACGGATGTGGATATTTTACGAAATGATATCGGGAAATTTCCGTATTCCTCGGGGCGAACATGTCCTCCGGGTGAGCGGAAAACCGGACGCGGCGAAGAGGCAAGGTCGGCCGACGACCCAGGAAGTACATTATCCACCGGGTAGGGGCTTAGAAAGTGCAACGCTTGCATCACTACGATACACTTTCTTTCCCGGTATTGTTTCCCAGGATGATCCCTCGGGGGAATAAGAGTGAAAAACCTCCCGGAGGAAATATCTCACCTGTCGCCGGAATCTTTTTCTTCCTCCGACGCCTCCACACCTCCGTCACGTCTTCCATGGCGAGATTCCACATCTTGTCAAATGCGACGACGAAACCTGTCAAATGGCCTCTTATCCCGCACATGTCTCTCGTGTAAACCTGGAAAAACAGTTATCAATTTCAAGACAACTCATTTTTGCACGATCCATCCAACGAGCAGAGTGAAAGTACCCAAAGACTTCTAACAAACTCTAACGACTCAGTTGATGAAAGGTGTTTTGGAACAGTACAAATAATTAGGACTCATATGCGTACTTTAGGATACAATATCTCTTAAGAGACCCAATATAGCTACTCATGAATCGACATCTATAAGTAAAAATAACTTGAGTTTTCTATGTAATCGAATGATAAAATCGGCTGGCTTATTATCAAGATGACAGTAATGATTCTGCCGACAAGCGACGACAAGTAAATGACACATCTGTCGACAAGATCAAGAACAAATAACAAATATTGTATAACTCTTGGGCTAAAGTTATAAATGATAATTATTTACCGCAATAAATATAAAGTTAAAGTACATTTCAGTGTTTAGCGAATAGAATTAATCTCGAAATAGAAATTTTCTAATTGTTTTATCAAAAACTCCATATTTTTTCCTGTCTCACTGATAAGTAAAGATTCCAAAAGTTTCTCATGATAAAAAGCTCATTTGTTATTTCCTTCAGAAGAGCTTAGAACGCAGGACTATATTAAGAAACCTGATATTTAACAGTTGATCAACACGCAAGATCTTTCAGACTATTATCTAGTGTTTCATAAAATTATAAATAAAATATAACTATTATTTATTTGGAGGTCGTGAGATGCGGTCTGGTGTGACGTAGGTTTTAGAAAAACATTTTCTTTATCGTGCCAACGTTTCGATCTTTATTGAGATCATCTTCAGAGCCTGGGGTTTACAAACATTGTTTAAATTTTACATATACATGTAGGATGTGGGAAAAAATGAATTTATACTATGCTAGAAAATTTTATATTAAAAAAGAAAATGAATTTATACATTGCTAGAAAATTTTAGATTCAATCAAAGTATTTCTACTCACTCAAAGTGTTTGTTTTCCGTGTGGATGTGTCATTCTTGTCTGTCGTGTTGAGAACTTAAAAATATAACCTTAACTCGAGGGGGCGATATTTGGCTGACTTTTCATCAATCATGATTATGTACAAACGAGAACTTTATTTCTTGCTAAAACTTAAAATTGAAAAATAGATCAAGAAAACTGCACCTTATAAAAGAAGTAAGACTACAAGCGAGATATACGCATCTATAAAGCTTTGAAAATAGGACTAGATTAAGAAAACTAATACTTAACAGGTAATCGACACGAAGATCTCTCGGACTATCATCTAGAGATTTATAAAATTAAAATCACAAATAAAACTTATTTAACTTGAGGGGATCAAACGAGAACTTTATTTCGTGTTTGAACATTTCAAAATTAGATCAAAAGCAGTAGGACAAACTCTGCTCAATTGAAAAAATTTTTAAAGAAGGAACTAGCGAGACTGACCGAATCCTTTTTCGCTTAGGCACGAATTAGTCAAGAAAAAACAACACATACAAACAATAACATATGCTTTACGAATTTTATTTGGACAGGTTTTTTTTGTAAAATGTCCTCCCTGTTTATTATCTCAGTTTTAAATTAATCTAACTGTATATTTATAAAATTAATTAAGAGATGAATTCCATGAAGAGGCCATCAGTCACAGAAGTGATAAAGGAAACGCATATGTGAACAATCTGCGTGACGGAATGCCCGTGATTAGCAATCTGAGAAGTGGACAGCCGACTTCAAATCAAATTTAACGAAAAACAACTAATTTTTGTGTAAAAGTTTGTGATGAAGTTAAGAAGGATCTCATGAAAATCCTCAGGTTTCACCCTATGGAAATCCTATTAGTGAAAGCATCCAGGTCTATTTTAAGTTCGCCACGAGACTGGAAAATTTGAAAAAAGCTTGGCTTAAAATAATCTGGAGTAGTCTTAATAAAAATGAGATTCTAGGTTCTTTTTTTTTCAATGAAATCTCATTGCAGGATCTCACTCAAAACTAGAAAATTGGAATAATTATAGCGAATTAGGCTAGTGTAGATAAAGATGAAAAGCCCCCCTGATGCCAAATGGCATTTTAATTGATTTATAACAACCGGTGGTCCGAAGAATTACTGCATCCAACCATCATTTTTAAAATATATATAATAAGACAATGACATATTTTTGAATCTTCAAAACTTATTTATTTTTAAAAAAATATGAAGGTTAAGTTACCTTAATTTTGACTTTCTTTTCCATGCAGTCTCGCAGGACGGCGAGCGGGCCCTCCACCTTTTTCATCCGTGTTACTACATTGTCCCAACCGTCTGAAAAGAAAAGGAAACTGTGAAAAGTTTAAGTATTGGAGCTTTAGATGTCATCAAGATAATTGAAAGATAATGGATACAATATCCAACGTTATTTACAATCTTTATGTAAGATACTGGTTGAGATAAAAAAGTCATTGTCACGAGTGGGATTCGAACCCACGATCTTCAGCTCAATACGCTGCTGCTCAACCGCTGGAGCTATCATAACTTCGAATCCCGCTCGTGCCATTGACTTTTTTATCTCAACTAAAAACTTTAATTAATTGGTCAGGCAGACCACGAAATTAGTGAATTTAATATATTCAATCAAAGTATTTCTACTCACACACAATACACTCGGACACCAACTTCCCATCTCAACCCCATCTTTCAAATTTTCCCTCATTTTTCCATTTTTTTAAATCTCAACCAATACCTTACATAAAGATTAATTAATTGAAAGAAGTTTTTTGGTCAATCGGACCACGAAATTAAATGGAGTTATTTACAATACAAAATTAATTCGTGAAATCCCCTTTTTAAAATTTATCATCATCGATTCTTAATTTCTCAGTTTGCCCTTGGTGGGTTTTGGCCGGACGCCACACTGGGACATCTACAAACGTAGAGGAAGCTAAAACGCGCCTCTTCAAGGGCAAAACGGCGAGAATAGACGGACCCAGAGGGGAGAAACGTTCCAATCGGCTTGAACGATTATAAATTTTAAAAACAAATCTATATTAAAAGGCTTAAAATACAGGCACGTTTTGATTGGACCAAATTGTGTGTTTTATCAACCTTTTCAGTAAATTTCCAATAATTTCCAATTATATATACATATATATATATATTTTTTTTTTTTAATAATCGATCTGTATTAAAAATCTAACGAAAGAACTTTGTCAGTAGTATTAATGAGTTCTTCGCTGTTTCGGTCGGATGGCCAGTCACAGGCGATTTACTGAACCGAACAGCGAGACTGTGCGGGCCAATGGCGACCAAACGAGCCAAAAGCAATGACGAGCTAGGTTAATTCTAAATTGGTATTATGTATGGTTTATAAATTAAATCTGGCATAAGTCCAACAGCGACGCTAGACGTACCAGAGTATAATAAAAAAATGTTTTAATTACAATATCTGACTTCTTTGTTTATATTGTTATTTCGCTCTCACTCTCTCTCTCTTTCTCACTCTTTCTCAATTTTAATTTATAATGTAAAATTTAAAATGTGATTATAACACGTTAGAGTAAGAAAGGCCAAAAAGACCTAACTATGGGTGAATAAATAAAACAATCAATAAAAAATATTCAGTTTTTTAGTCCAATTGGTTAATTTTACGTGTGGCTTTTGGGTTTCTGAATTTGTGTTGCTGAATGCAATCAGATTTTTTCCTTCCCTCTGCCTACTTTCTTTATCTGACAGGATCATCTTATTACAGCACGGGGTTATAAAAAGTTACAAAATACACCAATGCAAATGGAAAATAGAAATGACTTCAAGTGCTTTTAAGCACCCGGTTGCGCAACGGAACACAGCTAGCGCAGCCGGAGGGGTCAACGACACCCGAACACGACGACAAAACGGTCGAATTCGTCACACAATTTTCTCGAGGTTAATAATTATTTCTCCACCGATAAAGTTTTATCTAATTCTTCTTTCGGCCCCACAATCGCCGGTAGCGGCCGTCACCTAAACAAAAACTAAATCCGTCCGATTTCCCCTACCATATGTTCTGCATTGCACGTCGAAAAGCAAAGAAGAGATCTTAGGGTAACGGTACAATATAAATTATCCATACCTAGACTTTTGTATTGTTTAAAAAACAAAGGAAACAGTATTTCCTTTTCTTCCACTCGAACGTTTTAAAATGGAGTTCGATCAATCATGGAAAGCATTTTGGTGAATTTGGCAGGCCAGTTACATTCCGAACCTCTTTTCAACCTACTTGGATTAAAAAATAAAATAAAAAATATTCAGCTCTAATTAATCCCAAACAGACGTACTCACACAGACTTGGCAGTGACGTATAATTGCACGGATATAATAAATTTCGGGGTTGGCGGCCAGGCTCTTCATTCTAAAAACGGCATGAAATCGCTCTGTTAATCATGAAGGGCAGCCAATCTTCAATATTCGAATGGTTCAAGATCATTAAGAAAAAAACATACAAAACTAGCCGGTATGGTCTGATGTGTTTGTAAGTTTGCGACGTTCATCCTAGTAACTTCAGCGACGGCTTGACCCCTGTTAGATGAGAATAAGAACAGCCGAAAAACAAGTTCATCAATAATCAATTGCATCCGATAAATAATAAACAGCGTGGCGGATCCCTCCGATCTCAGGGCAATGCAAACATGGTGGACAAGAAAAATTCAAATTACAGAATTTGACATTAAAATTAATAAACACATTTGGAGGGCAAACTGCCTGGTGAGAATGTATGTTAGAAAAATTAGTTAATTATCACAATCATGTTTTAATATTAAGCTGTGTTTGTGATATGTTCAATAACAGATTATAAACCTCGTAAAAACACGGTAATTATATAAACATCCGGCCCGGAGGACCAAATCAACAGACACTAACTCCTTCCCTCTTCTTTCTCACAATGGAAAAGACAAAACACGCGTAAAATATAATAAATAAATAACAAACTTTACAAATACGAAATGAAGTTTGGCATTACAAAATTTATCTTAAGGATTGATGATTTTAATCAACTTATTGTTAAATTACTATAAAAATAATAACAATTAAAATAATCAGTTTAATTATTTGGATGTTTGATATTATTTATATACATATTTCAAATGGGAGGTAGATCAAAATCTGTTATATTATTAATGTATTTATCACCATGTTCTATTTTACATTTTTTAATTTCAAATTTCTCAAACCAATCTAGTTCTTTCCCTTTGTTGAAACTATGTAACACTTTTGTATTTAGATTTGAATTGAAATTATGTTTTGTTTCTTTTAGATGGTCCTTAAATTCCCAAAATTTGCTCAATTTAGCCAAGTGTTCTTTTACTCTTGTTTTTATTTCTCTACCGCTTTGTCCTATATATTTAATATCACAATCATTACAATTGAGTTGGTAAACCCCGCTTTTTGCCAAGTTGTCTACTTTGTCTTTAGGTTTTGAGAGGATGTTTTTAAGTGAACCTAAAAGCTATTCTAAAACCTTCTTGTTTAAAAATGTTACTAACTTTTTCCGATAATTCACCAATGTACGGCAAACAACGGAAACCTGGTTAACCCTAACCATCCCTTCTTTTAACTAGCAACCTATCAATAAATATTTCTTGATACCCGTTGTTTTTTGCTAAGGTTTTAATAGTTTCTAATTCTTTTTTATAGTTAGCAGGTGTTACCGGAAGTTTTAACATCCGGTCTATGAGCCAAATGAAACCAGCAGCCTTTTGGGACCATGGGTGGGAAGAATCCGCTGGTATCATAGTGTCTGTAGTTGTGGGTTTTCTATATACGTCTATTCTATTAGGTTGTTTATTATGGACAGGTCTAAAAAGTTTAGGTCTAAAAAATTCAAACAACCATCCTTGCCAATCTCCAATGTAAAATTTATATTACGGTGTAGAGAATTTAATTAGTTGGAGGAATCCTTTAAGATCCTCTAATGTTCCCGACAATATGCATAAAATATCGTCTACATAGCGTTTCCAGAAATGAACAGATTTAATTAATTTGTTCTTTGATTTGAAAAGATTTTTTTCGAAATTATCCATGAATATTTCAGCACAAAGTGGGGATAATGGAGACCCCATTGGTAACCCTTTCATTTCGTAAAATTTATTATTGAATTTACAATAATTACATAGTAGGCATATATTTAAGAAGTCTATTATATCATTTTTTAGAAATTCGTTAATAGAATTCTCGGTAAGTTTTTGCTTTATGAGTTTAGTACCTTCTTCAACGGGGATATTTGTTACTTATTGTTCGTTAGAAAACACCTAAAAACCACGAGAAATCGGAAAAACCGTTCTTAATAATTATTTAGAGATCGAGAGATGCGGTCTGGTGTGATGTAGGTTTAGAAAAAAAATTTCTTTTTCGTGCCAACGTTTCGATCTTCATTGAAATCATCTTCAGAGCTCAAAATGTATGCTTTCTATGTAGAGTTATCATTGCTGTGTGTCGTGTAGAGAGTGCCGTACTTAATAATATGAGTGTTTTTAAAATTTACTTAAATTTGTATAAGTAAATTCCTCATTTGTTTCTTATGTATATGTGTTACATATGTTAGCCTCTGACAGATGATAATCAATTTCTCTGGTCAGAAGCCTTGGTCATTTTCGAAACTCCCGGCCTGGAGGACCAAATCAATAGTCACTACCTCCTTTCCCTCGATGTAAAAGACAAAATATCGCATATAATATAATATAATAAATTCGGAACACAATTTACAAACATGAACCGTATGAAGATTAACATTGCCGAATTTATCTTAAAGATCGATGATTTTAACCAATAACTAACCCGCGATAAATAGAAACAAACCTTTCTTTATAATAATAATAATTTCGTTCTTAATAATAGTGTTTTTAAAATTTGTTTGGATTTTATAACTAAATGCCTAAATTTTATATTTATTATATTAACCTACTGTAATGGACTTCGCTGGTCAGAAACCCATGGTAATTTTATGAATTTCTGGTCCGGATGACCAAATGATCATACACTACTTCCGTTGCCCCCACCACTCTTTTTTTGTTTTCTTTCTTTTTCTTTAGTTTGCTCACATTTTCTCTATTTCCATTTATTATCTTCTGTTACAAACTGTTTTAAATCTATTGCACACTCATTTAGTCTCTCTCTCTCTCTCTCTCTCTCTCTCTCTCTCTCTCTCTACCCCTTTCCCTCTCTCTTTGTTTCTTTTTCTTTAGTTTTATCGCACTTTTTTGGTTCTATTTTAATCTTGTGCTGCTAACTGTTGTTATATATATTTCACCTCATTTAGCCTCTCAATCAGTATCTCTCTCTCTTTCTCTTTC